TTTACACTCACTCATTTTTTTTACTCATTCATTCATTATTTTATTTATTCATTTATTCACCCACTCATTCAATCACTAAATCATTCATCCATTTATTTATTTATGCATTCATTCATTCATTTAATCATTCATTCATTCATTCACTCACCCACTCACTTATTCATTCATCCATTCATTTATTCATGCATTAATTCATTTATTTACTCACTTACTCACTCACTCATTAATTAATTAATTCATTCATTTATTCATTTTTTCATTCATTTATTCATTAATTCATTTTCGTTTATTCATTTGATTTTATTCATTCATTTTCAATTATTCATTTTTATTCATTCATATTAATAATTATGGTTATAAAACAAATGTGTATTTTTTGATTGGAACTAAAAATAATATTTTTTTTGGAACAGTGGCGGATTTAAAAGGGGCCCAGCTGGCCTGGTCCCCACCTAAAGTTTCCAAAATAAAAAAAAAATGGGGAAAAAAGGAAATTATACAAGGATAAAAGGATACCATAATAATAATAATAATAATAATAATAATAATAATAATAATAATAATAATAATAATAGTAATATTCCATCTATTCATTCATCCATTTACTCACTAATTTTTTCACTCATTCCTTTTTTATTTAATTCATTCATTTATTCACCCACTCACTCAATCACATATTCATTCATCTATTCATTTAATAATGCATTCATTCATTTATTCATTCATTCATTTTTATTTATTCATTCGATTTTATTTATTCATTTATTTTTAATCATTCATTTTTATTCATTCATTATATATATTCATATTTTCATTCATTCATTCATAGATTACGCTATGCTTTAATTATGGTTGTAAAACACGTGTGTTTTTTTTAAATAAAACTAAAGATTTTTAATTTTTTGAAACAGTGGTGGATTTAAGGGCGAGCCCAGCTGGACGGGTCTCCACCTAAAGTTTTCAAAATAACAAAAAAATAGGCAAAAAAGGAAAATTATACAAGGATACACTATTGATAATAATAATTATTATATTAGTAATAATAAAACTATTAATAATAAAACTATTAATAATAATAATAATAATAATAATAATAAAATATATTTAAATATATTTTGAGAGTGCTGAGAGTGCCATTTCCAATCATATAGAGGTGCAATAATCATAAATTTTCTCGCCTTAGCCAAAACCGTGGTGGGGCTGATGTGTACAGACCCACAACCTGTGGATTTGTCCATCCCTGGGCCCTCTCTATTTCAAATTTTTGGATCCGCTATTGAGTGGGTATGTACAGTAAGTTGTGCCTAGGCATGGCACTGCTAAGGTAGCATCTGATCTAACAAGGATTATTGATACTATATATTAATTGATAAAAAAAAAATCACCTCCCAACATAACTATTTAATTTTAAAGAGGTGATGCTAAACAAGTATTTTTTTATTTGGCCTAATTTAATTTAAGGTTTTTTCTCCAATATTTCAACATAGATGGTTATATATTATATGCAGTAACCTTGGCCTTATGATGTTTTTGCACACCTAGGCCTACCTCTCTACCAGCAATTTTGTACACAAATATGAGTTAGATTACTTCTCAGTGTAATCCTGCAAATTAAATTCTGATCACGCCAATTTCATCCTCAGTGTCCAGTATTCATACAGCACTTTGTTTCAAAGTACTTCACAAGTTGCCAATTCATTTAAATTCAAATTCAATTAAAAAATACTTTATTATCCAAAGCGATATTCATTTTGCCATGGTATAATATATCAAACAATGTACAATGAATAAAATACATATAAAAATATTTTAAAAAGAAAGTTTATACATGAAAAATCATTTCTAAATCAGGGATTTAAACAATAAGTGTTGTTTTCTTTTATTAAATTATTAAAAAAAAATGTAAACAATGAATAAAATACATATAAAAATATTTTAAAAAGAAAGTTTATACATGAAAAATCATTTCTAAATCAGGGATTTAAACAATAAGTGTTAGGTTTGTTTTCTTTTATTAATATTTAAAAAAAAAAGTAACACAAAAATTTGTGAAACAATTTAAAAGAGAACAATTTTTAAAATCCTTAAACTCTCCGGACTTGTATAATCTATTATTTTTATATCATTATTTATTTATTATTTTATTATTATTTGTTTATTTTGTTATTATTGCAGATTACATGCATTTACGTAATGTGTTTTTCAATAAATTAGGACTACCGTATCTCTGACAGACTGCACTTGATCTAGAAAAAAACCCTCAAGTCAATGATAAAGTAGCTTGTGAGTTCTAAAAACACACATGTCTGTCCACACATTATTAAGATACCCAATGAAATTACAAATAGCTTTGTTATAATAATCTTATTATTAGGACTCACATTATATCATTAAAATGTGTTTTATTGAAATGTTTTAGGCAATTTATTAGGTCAATATGTAATATGATGGTCTCATTGCTGCCCCTCATTGTCAATCCTTCACTTTATTAAATGTATATCTACATCTCAGAAAAACATAGTTTTTCATTTTTTGCCTAAATCCTATAAATGTTACGGCATATAATTTAACTTAAATTTAATTATTGTTGATCTCATTTTGTCTATCCCTTAGATGAATTTTGCTGATGGTTCTAGCTATATGAACTCGGCAAGGATATTAGTGTGGCCAATATTTTGTTGATGAGTTTGGGCTTAGGGGAAGTTTTAAAGGGGTATATTACTTTCATTAGTCCTGTAAAAGAATGCAATAATTGAAATGTGACTAAATCTCACTTCTTTTACTCTACAGAAAATATTGTATGCAAGCAGTTAAACTGGGAGCAAGTTTATGCTTAACAGAACATGCATAAGGTAGGTGATTCTAATCACTGTATTAAGTTTGTGAATACACATAAAAGAGAATTGTGTAGCCTATTGCACAATTCACAATCTATATAACAGTAAAAATTATAAGTAATCAAAAAAAAAAAAAAACAAATAATAATTCATACACCTCATACAACTTCTACTGCTCCATCTAGAATCCTACAGTATTTTAGTTGAAGAATATCATTTCCCCTTGTCATACAATACATATACATGTAAGACCATGATTAATGCACAAACTCCCCCACTTCCAAGAAGTATTTGTAGTGAAACTTATTACTAAATAGGGCCATATAAACAATGATTCTCATGGGTGATTGTATGCATTTTTTTACAGCAGCTAACAAATCACCAAATCTGTCTAAGTTCTGCCTATCATTATTACAGAAGTTTAAAATGGTTATGTTTTTCAGGGAAAAAAATTAATTATCTTTAATTTACAGTGGCGATGTTTCTCCACAAGAAAGTCACTCACATTTAAAAATTGTATTTTTATTACAAAAATTGTTAAATTGTATATGAAGCTGTAATATTTTTTTCTTTCTTTCAGCCTATAGTTTTGAATCCAAGATTTACCCTGTCAGATGGATTTAATGTTTGACCTCAACGGTAGACTGTTTAATTTCACTTCTGTGCAGAGAGAATTAATATACATTTCAATAACAGGCTGTGAAGAGAAGTCTACAAAATTACAATGTCCAGTCAGGGAAATCTAAGCAATGTTATATTGATGATCACAGATTAATAATTTGTACAAAGGAAGATTATAGGTCTAGTAAAAGGGATATGTGTCATTCACTGAACATACAAAGTATTATAGATTCATATTTCTTGAGGAAAGATAAGATTTTAATATTGGATGTAGTTACAACTTGTTATTTTAGAAATTGTAAGAATTCAGAATTACCATTTTTTTTGTGAATTATGATATATATGAGAGGCATTGGCTCTTGAGATCATAATAAACATTTTCTTATAAGCTGCTAATTTTTTGGTATTGAATTTTATGTATAGTACTGCATTGCATCTTTTGGACAAAAAAAAAATATAAATATTTAATCCTACATGTCATTGTTTATTTAAAAACATCATTCTCCATAATATGGTTTTCTTCATGCAATAATCATTTCTTATCATCATCATTAAGGCTATTTTATCAACTTTTCTGCCTCTCATTATGTACCATTGACTAATTTCAGTAATCTGTTTAAAATTAAATCCTCAATGTTTGATGCTTAATTTCAGGAACCATTGAGGGAAAATGTGTTTGAACTGTATGAAAACAGTTATTTAATTTCAACATATATTGTTGGGCCCAATTCCTTTAGTTATAATTTCTCTTGTAAAAAAAAATATTTTATATTTAACTAAAAACTGTTGGCTATAGTGAAATTATTTTTATTCCATGATCGACTGTATTCATAGAAATTATGTGTGTAAAGGGTTTCAAATAATAATTTATAAACCTTCTTTATAACATGTTTACTTTCATTTTTTGACATTTATGTGTATATATATGTTACTATGCATATATGATTATGACTATAAAGTTAATTATTTAATTTATTCAAATAATTTTGTGTCAAATTTAGTTATAATTTTTACTGTAAAAAAATTAATTAATATTTAACTAAAAACTGTCGACTATAGTGAAATTATTATTTTTCCACGTTCGACTGTATTCATAGAAATTATGTGTATAAGGGTTTCAAATATATTTGTATAAACCTTTTTTTTTAACATTTTTACTTAAATTATTTGACATTCATCTGTATAATACTATGCACATACAATTGTGACTTTTAATATTAATAAATTTGAATCAAAGGTCTAGATAAATTCATTGTTTGTTATTTTATAATTATAGTTAAAGTATATACATGCATACATACATGCATACATATATATACATATATATAAATATATATATATACTTATATACATATACATATACATATATACATATATATACATATACACACACATACATATACATACACATACATATATATACATATATATACATATACATACACATACATATATATACATATACATACACATATATATACATATATATATACACATATATATATATATATATACATATACATACACACACACATGTATATATATATATATATATGTGTATATGTATGTGTATGTGTGTGTATATATGTATATATACATACATGTATGTGTGTGTGTATATACATACATGTATGTGTGTGTGTATATACATACATGTATGTGTGTGTGTATATACATACATGTATGTGTGTGTGTATATACATACATGTTTGTGTGTGTGTATATACATACATACATGTATGTGTGTGTGTATATACATACATACATGTATGTGTGTGTGTATATACATACATACATGTATGTGTGTGTGTATATACATACATACATGTATGTGTGTGTGTATATGTGTATATGTGTATATGTGTGTGTGTATATGTGCGCGTATATGTGCGTATATATGCGTATATGTGCGCGTATATGTGCGTATATATGCGTATATGTGCGCGTATATGTGCGTATATATGCGTATATGTGCGCGTATATGTGCGTATATATGCGTATATGTGCGTATATGTGCGTATATATGCGTATATGTGCGTGTATATGCGTATGTATGCGTATGTGTGCGTGTATATGCGTATGTGTGCGTGTATATGCGTATGTATGCGTATGTGTGCGTGTATATGCGTATGTATGCGTATGTGTGCGTGTATATGCGTATGTATGCGTATGTGTGCGTGTATATGCGTATGTATGCGTATGTGTGCGTGTATATGCGTATGTATGCGTATGTGTGCGTGTATATGCGTATGTATGCGTATGTGTGCGTGTATATGCGTATGTATGCGTATGTGTGTGTGTATATGCGTATGTGTATGCGTATGTGTGTGTATATGCGTATGTATGCGTATGTGTGTGTATATGCGTATGTATGCGTATGTGTGTGTGTATATGTGTATGTGTGCGTATGTGTGTGTGTATATGTGTGCGTGTGTGTGTATGTATATGTATATGTATGTATATGTGTATATATGTGTATGTATATGTATGTATATGTGTATATATGTGTATGTATATGTATATGTATGTATATGTGTATATATGTGTATGTATATGTATATGTATGTATATGTGTATATATGTGTATGTATATGTATATGTATGTATGTGTGTATATGTGTATGTATATGTGTATGTATGTATATGTATATGTTTATGTATATGTATATGTGTATGTATGTATATGTATATGTATATGTATATATATATATACATGTGTATATGTATATACATGTGTATATGTATATACATGTGTATATGTATATACATGTGTATATGTATATACATGTGTATATGTATATACATGTGTATATGTATATACATGTGTATATGTATATACATGTGTATATGTATACATGTGTATATGTATACATGTGTATATGTATACATGTGTATATGTATACATGTGTATATGTATACATGTGTATATGTATACATGTGTATATGTATACATGTGTATATGATACATGTGTATATGTATACATGTGTATATGTATACATGTGTATATGTATACATGTGTATATGTATACATATATTAAAAAAATTGTAAATGGTTAAGTAAACTGCCACTCAGTGAATTCCAAAAAAAGTCATCTTCATTGGTGGTATGACGTTCACCACAAAATAAAATGTACAGGGCCAAGTAGAGTTTTCGTGAAGTTTGAAGTGTTTTCTTGTCTTCGTTTAGATTCTTCTTCTGGTTACATTTAACAAACAAGGCTGTTACTCTTTGCAAGTGGAAATGGTGAAGGGAGCACAGCTCTGTGGGATGGATACGTGCGCCGTACAAGATTTCATTATTATTATTTACTTGCTAATAATTTTTCATGCGGTATTTTTAGCTAAATATTTTCCGATTAGTGTATATATTAACTATAATATATTATGTGTAAGATCTGTCATCATTAGCTAATCCTCTTAACTATATAATGCTTTGTCACATTCCACCATTTGGTCATTCATTGCGCCGCTCCCTTATCACTGTTTATCTGTGCATATC